GGCTAAAAACCTTGCAAAACTACAAACCCCAGGATTCCATAGGATGGGGCTGCAACACTTACAGGTCTCAAATGGCATTATTATTATAGTGTGGATGCATCCCAGCTCAGTAATTCCATGCAGAGATTTGTGTATTTCCTCTAGAGTAACCTTCTCCATTCTGGCACCTCCCAGATGTTTCCTACTACATTTTCCATCGTAGTTAGTCAAAGTAGGTTAGGAATAATGGGGATTGTAGTATAACACATTGCTGTTGAGACTCCTGCTGTTTCTTCCATGTATTGTATAGAAGAGGAATAGACAATTGGACATTCTGAAGTGGGAGCAGAATACATTCCTAAGTACAAAGCTCAAGACTTGGAGCTTATTCCTTGTTCAAACTGACTCCTGTGATTCTTTCCCATCTACAAATCACTGTCAGAATATATCTAACTCATGAATGAAAATCATTATAGTATCTCTGACAACTTGCAATAATAAATAACAGCAACTGCTGTTGTGATAAGGACAAGCTGTCAGAGCAGTTGCTCCTGTTGGCAAAGCAAGGATAAGATTGAGGTGCAGGAAAAGTAGGCATACTAAAAGGTTCAGTCCATTTTTGGATTGATTTATATGTGTGTTTAATTCCTAGAAAAGAAGAGTAACCAAAACTTTTTTTATTCAGGCTGAAAGAGGAAACAGACACAACCCATATACTTAAAACCCTCTCTACCTTTATAACTTAAGGGCTGGCTTGTGGTGAGTGGCTAAAGGTCACACTGGTAATTGCTATATCAAGAGAGAGGACAGGGGAGCTACTGTTGGTACAGGAGGCTGGCCTATCAAAAGCACATTACGCTGGCATGTTACTGTTCAGAAGTTGTAGCGGTGATGTTAGTTAGAACCATAAGAAGTCAGTGAAATTAGTGAGACTCAGGCATGCATTTGGAAGTCCGATGCCACAGGGGTAGGCAAACTGTCCCTTTTAAGGGCCGAGGGACTTCAGCTCCCAGAATCCCAGACTATCCCAGACTATTGGCCAACATGGCTGAGGCTTTTGGGAGCCGAAGTCCCTCGGCCCTTAAAAGGGACAGTTTGCCTACCCCTGCATATGGTCAGTAATGGAATTGTGGATACCAGTCTGAAAACTTTAATGACTAGTCTTTCCCAGTGAGCTATCTTTCTTGATACTCAATTGCAGATTTAATAAATCTCTCAAGGTAACTTTATTAGTATTTTGTAAGGCATTTGACTGGACTTTGTAAAGATGCTGAGGGATTCCTCCCCCCCCCCCCCGAAATGTAGAGCATGACCTAGAGTTTTGGAGTTTTATACTATAGATCAATTATACTTGAGAAACCTGGGTTCACATCCCAAGTCAGTAGGATAGTGGGAAAGTCACTTCTGCATATAAGAATATGGATAAAATATTTAATCAAATACTTATGAATCCTGTTGTAGTAGCAAGTGTTGTCTCCTTCTAGTGAAAGACTCTACGACCTCTGAATTTACATACACTTCAGATTAATCACTTAGACACCCATGACATTGTTGTTGTTATTCTTATTTCATTTATATTCTGCCATTTCCCCAAAACAAGGGTTCAAGGTAGCTTACAAAAATGAAAAAAATAAAATAAAAGTTCATATATAAGATTGAAATAAAAACATAGAAAATTTTGGTAAAGTGCAATTCAACTGTCTATAGAAATAAAGTCATGAAAAACAAATCCATTAAAAGGATAAAATAACAGTATGCTATTAAAATCTTTTTGCAGTCAGTTCTTAAAATCCTCTCATATTAAAAAAAGTTTTTATTCATGAATGGAAGGACAGCAAGAAGGGAACCATTTGGGCCTCCCTAAGGAGGGAGTCCCAAAGCCTTGGAGCAGCCACTGAGAAGGACTTCTCTCATATTCCCAACAGACATATCTGTGAAAGTAGTGGGAAACAGCATTCGAAGCTCAGAATAGATTCATTTATGTCTGAACTGTAAACACTTAAATCTACAATGTAACCTATTTATGTCATGAAGATATATCTATACAGGAAATCCCAAATCTTTCAAAAAACAAACTTTTTGCTATCTGAATTTGCCTTCAATATGGTGACTGCAGCACTCCTACTCATTCATCACTCAGATCCTCAGTTTTTCTCCAGCCTTGTCTCTCTCACACAATGCAAGTAGTAATATGCATCAGTCCCGTTGTGCATCAGTCCCAATGCACATCAGTCAATTTGCTGGCTCCCGTATATAGTAACATTTTAATACTGTAATTCTTTTCTAATGCCCAATTTTGTATGTTTTTAACTGTATTGTTTTTAATTTGTAAGCTGCTTTGTATCCCATTTTTTTGGGGGAAGTAGGATAACAACAACAACAACAACAACAGATGCAAGACTGGAGAGAGATGATCAAGCAGGAGTGCCGCAGCTGTCACCTTGAAGATGGAAGCAATTGGCTGGTGGCAAAAAGACATGAGGCTGGAGAGAGGAGGAGGATCTGTGAGAGTGTGGAAATCCAAGCATAGTGTCATTTCACAGATCTTCATGTTTCTCTCCAGCCTTGTGTCTCTCTCCAGCCACACAAATACGATATAAGTATGATGTACTATGCTACTTGTGTATTCCAAAATCTGAAAAAATCCTAATTCCGAAAAGCTTTTGGTCCCAAGCACTTTGAATAATTTGGGATACTCAACCTGTGTTTATATATCTGACAAACTGCTTGGCACGTGAGCCTTCCCAGACTCTTTGTGGGAAACTTTTCCTGCCATACTGTGTTGCTGAGTTGAGAGGATATCATTGCATCTCACGGGTCTAGTATAGTTGGTAAATTCCATGGGACCTTAAGTCCTGCTGTCCTCAATTGGATGTGCCCACTAGAAAGACATTCCTCCAGCAACAGGTCCTTAGGAAGTCAAGGAGGGTGGGGAACAAGAAAAGAGCCCCTTTCTCAGATTGCTCTTCTTCATGTGCAGCCAGGAATCCCTTTTCCACTCAGACCAAAGCCCCCACTCTGGTCCAAAGGCAGAGAGTACCTCCTACACCACTTGTCAGGCAGATCTGCTGCTGGTAGACTGTTGAGAAGTCTGTCCCAAAGGTTTTTTCACCAGTGTCCCTGTTTCAGAGTACATATGGATGGGATTTTGATACAAGGGGGTTTTCAGATGTATATCACTGCATCTCTGAATCTGCCATGGAGCAGTAATTAGCACAGTTTGGGCATATTCTTCTTCTCCAGACTGAGCAGCATGAGGTATATTTGCACAACACTGATTGGTCATGGCACCATCTTGCTCACCTCTTGAAGCAGAATTTTAAAGGTGAAAGCTATAACAGGAAGAAAAAACAAAGCACCATATAGATGCTTCAGAAAACAAAACAAGAGATGGACAATTCTCCTGAAGCACAGGGGTAAAGGGCAACAATTGCATTCTGTTTGGAACAAGATATGCCTATTTTTGAGTACCCAAGGCAGTAGTAGTGAGTAGAGCTCACTGTACAGTAAAAAAAAAAAAAGAGTTTTACACCTACTTTTGTTTCTTTATATGTCTGTCCACAGTTGAAGACCACTAGGGCAACATATAGCTTCCTTCTTAAATTTGTGTCAGAATTCTTGATGTGTGGTGCCCAGCAAATGAATTATGTAATTCAGAGAGTATCTTTCCAATGCCAGATTTTCCACATCTTTGATAAAGCTAACAGATGTAGCTGATACGGACATTACAGGACATCCTTCCATCTCAGATCCATCAACCATTATTTACATTTTGAATGTTTTGAGGCTCGGTACTGTATTGCATTCCATTAGCATCTTCACCAGGTATGGATATCCAGTTTCTCCATATGCACAGTGCAGCAGTCATCCTCCAGAATGGCACATGTTTTTGTGAACATGGAATCATAAAATTGAAAAAGGAGCCCAAGGGCCCTCTAATACCTTGCCCTGCAGGAATCACTCCATGCTAAAGCATTCCAGAGATGTGGTCGTCTAATATCTATTTAAGAACCTTATAGTGAAGATGGTCCATCACCTTCTAAAGTAGGCTGTTCCACTGTTGAATAGCTCTTCCACAAAGTTTTTCCAATTGGAATATTTTCATGCAATTTGGAGCAATTAATGTACTTTTATGTGCTATCTGCTTAAACAACAGAAACAAATTCATTCCATCATCTATGTGACAGCCCTTCCAATATTTAAAGACAGCTGTCATATGTCTCACTCTTCTTTTCTCCAACTAAACATATTCAGTCTCCTCAGAGGACTTGGTTTCCAGACCTTTTGTCAGCTTGGTCACCGTCCCCGGACACCTTCCACCTTGTCAATATTATAATATATAACGGCTTCAAGGATCTGCTTTGTGATTTCTGGTGGCCTTCTAAACACAATACAGACTTCAGATTTTGAACACTAAGGCTTTAAATATGCTGTAACACTTTTCATCCTTCTTTCCCTTATAGGGCTAGCTTTCACAAGAAATTCAAAGATGTGCAGCTTCTGTAAGAAGGCTCAAATATAGACATTTTCAGTGATACTTTCAATGGGATGTAGCTAGAATCTAACTCTGACTTTTCCCATGTGTATGTAATAATATTTCTGTTAGGCTTTTTTTCAGTGGATAGGCCAGGGATGAGCAACATTCTGGGAATGGGGAGGGGCACCTCAGACCCCTATAACCCACCGAGAACTACAACATGACATTGCAGTGCAGAATTTTGGTGACACAGCAATGGCAAAGCCAGTGTGCTTTAAAATAATAATGATAATGGCTGTTGTTATTATTATTTGTTTATATATTACCTGCCTATCCCTATGGATTGAGGTGGCATGGTCTCCACATTTCAAAGAAAATTTCAGTTTCCCACCCAGTAACTTTGTTGTTGTGGGACTTCAAGTCGTTTGCAACTTATGGCAACCCTAAGGGTTTTCTTGGCAAATTTCTTCAGGGGGGTTTGCCACTGCCATTCTCTGAAGTTGAGAGTGTGTGATTTGCCCAAGGTTACCCAGTGGGTTTCATGAGTCAGCAGGGATTTGAATCCTGGTCTCCAGAGTCTTGGTCCAACACTCAAACCACTATGCCACACTGACTTTACACCAGGGGTTAGTAACCTACGGCCCGTGGGCCGGCCCCGCCCCGCTGAGGCCTTGGAACCGGCCCATGGCCGGTGTTGCTGCCTCGTGCGCGAGCACCATTTTGGCATCCAAAATGGCACCCGCACTTGCACATGCATGTGCATGGCGGCAGGCGCCATTTTGGAACACCCAACGCACCAGTGTCATGCGCATGCGTTGGCGCCAAGGCCCCACCATGCCTGCGAATTCACACAGCACAGCCGCCGTGGGGCCTTCCAAAATGGCGCCCCCACGCGTGCGTGCATGCGCATGATGTCGGGCATCATGTGCATGCAAAGGGGGAAGCATGCACACATGGGGGGCAAGTGCGCGCAAGCGCCTGTGCGTGTGCCCGGCCCCCGCACCATTCCCCCCCTGGCAAAAAAGGTTGCCGACCCCTGCTCTTCACTGTTGAAATTGGGTGGTAATAATGGGCTTTGTGTTGTCCATCCATCCCTGGCTAAACTGATTTTGTAAACTTGTTTAGTCTTGTTTAAAGGTATATGGGAGGTTAACATTTTAAATACCACTGACTGAAATATTATTGTCTTTCTGTATCACAAATCAGATTGCAGAGGCTCAGGGACCATTAACACTGGAAAATAATAATCCTATACTCCACTTAATTCTATGGCAATATCCCTGGAATCCTGGGATTTGAGAGGGAAATTTTGAATTCTCTGCCAAAAAACTCTAGTGCCTCTCCAAACTACAAAACCGAGGATTCCATAATATGTTGCTAAGGCAGTTAAAGTGGTATACTGTATAATGCTATACTGTAATTCTGTAATGTGAATGGGCCCCTAACTCCAGTATAACATTGGTCCATAACACGCTGCAGAAATAATCCAGTTTGAGACCACTTTAATTGCCTTGGCTCAGTGCTAAGGAATCTGGGAATTGTAGATAATTGTTTCTCACAAAACTACAATATCTAAATATCTCACAAAACTACAAATCCAGAATCCCCTAGCATTGAGCCAGGGCAGTTCCAGTGGTGTCGAACTGGATTATTTCTGCAGTGTGTTTTGGACCATTGGAACTCTGTTTAGAGTCAGGAACAGGCTCTGGCAACATACAGGTCTTCTGCCCCATTAGCCTTCTGTGCTGGAATGCATTTTTGCTAACCTAGGTTAAAGTGAACAGCTCCATTTGGAAGGTCAGTTTTAATCTCCCAATGTGATCCATTCAGGTGAAAAAGACCAACAAATATCCCTAGGGGCATGGGGATATGTCATGGAGAAGCAAAGCTTATGATATTGAGGAACTTTAGTGTACAGATAATCTGAGTCTTTATATCAGGGGTAGGCAACCTTTCCCCTTTAAGGGCCGAGGGACTTCAGCTCCCAGAAGCCTCAGCCATGTTGGCCAATAGTCCCATGTTGGCCGATAGCCCCTGGGATTCTGGGAGCTGAAGTCCCTTGGCCCTTATAGGGGAAAGGTTGCCTACCCCTGCTTTATATGTACTGTTTGACTTACTGAAAGCTTCTCAGCAGCAACTTTTTAGAACACATAATCCATGTTATGGGGACTCATTTCTTGAAACTGAAAGTTCCATAATATGGGAAGACTCACAATGGAATTAAGAAGCTGGCAGTACTGTTTAGCTTTAATTCAATTGGAAGCGGGAAGCAAAGAACAAGAATAACCATGTTTCTTAAAATGGCAATCCCCAAAGGTGAAGAAAAGTTCTGCTAGGCTTAACTGCTGCAAGTTCTGCAAAAGTTCTGAGCTTTTCTGTTCCTGCAAGAACTGTAAGGAGAATAAGTGTTTCATTTGTTGTGTGTCATCTATTGACATTTGTAAAGCAGAGATATATAATGTTGTTATGGGGTACACTAGTATGATGTGAATGGGGCATGGCTTTAAAAATCAAATTACTGGGTTGAATGTATCAACCACTCTGTATTAATTGTAGGGGAGGGGGGGTTGATGCAGCATGAATCTGTTCCTCCACACATTTTAAAATCAAAGAGCCACCAAAGAGAAACATCTGAAATCATGATGCAAGGGGCTGTGTGGTGAGCTCCAAGTATGCATAAAGGCTTCTGAGTCTTTCCTTTCTGGTAGCAGCTCTTCAACACACATTTTTGAAATTTATGTAGTTTCCAAAATAGGCCTCTGATGCAAGAAGGATACATGGGAAACCCTGAATATGTACATAGTGTACAAGTCCTATTTATCTAAAGGTGATCATAACCTTAGCAAATCCCAAGGGCCTATTGTATGCCCCTAGAGTTAAAACCCTAGGGGTATACAATAGGCCCTTGGGGTCTGCTAAGGTTAGGTAGACTCCTGGCGGATACCAAAATCCATGGATGCCCAAGTTCCATTATATACAATGGTGTAGTAAAATGATGTCTCATATATAAGGCAAAATCAAGATTTGCTTTTTTGGATTTTTCTTAAAGCATTAAATAGATATGATAACTTAGTATAATTAAATTTTCTGGGGAGAACTAATGTAAAAAATGTAGGGCTTACTAGAAGAGATTAATCTCATGATAGACTGCCACAAAAATTGTAGTAATTTGTGTCCCCTCCTCCTTTTCTCTCATGTATTAGTTTATTCTTAGGGATATTTTGATATACCTTTGATGTATATCAAATTTATGTATAAAGTACTAGGGAAAGTGGGAAGAAGACAGTTAAAAATAACTGCTACTTGGTCAGATCTAAGGATAAGTCAAAGAATTCACAGATAAGCTGGGTATTGATTGGAAAGAAGATAGAATACCAATTCATAGTACAGTGGGCCTTTGGTATCAACTGGGATTTGGTTTTGGGACGCTCTGTGGGTAACAATATCCATGGATGCTGAAGTCCCATTAAATATAATGGCATAGTAAAATGTGTCCCTTATATAAAATGGCAAAATCAAGGTTTGTTTTTGGGAATTTATATTTTTTAAAAATATTTTCTAGCTGTTGATGATTGAATCCAAGGATGAAGAATCTGTGGGTATAGACGGCTGACTGTACTAAATATAAGCTTAGCCTTCCATATCACTCCCTTCTTCTGCCAAACTTCAAGAAGAGATTAGAAGCTTCTGCCCCAAATTGTTAAACTAGTTACTTTTCCTTTATATCCCAAAGTACAAAAATCTGATTATTTTATATGATGGGATCAGAATCTATGGTTTAACCTTGACTTGTTTAAATTAATAGTAGCTGAATCTAAACATAATTTCAATGAGTTCCATAACAGGGAACTGTTTGATTTAAAAACAGTAACAAAAAACTGCTAGTGTCCTATAGCTGCATCAGGGAAAATGGGGTGCATGTGAGTCTGATGTTTATGCCCATAACACTAAAATGTAGTATAACATTATTTCAAAATATTCTGGATGGGAGTTCTGAGTATAAAGGTGGTATATGCAGATTCATTTCTAAAGTGACCATGAGATCAGGTTCTTAAAATTACATTAATAGCTGGATAGGTACAGCCCCAATCCAGTTTGATTAGAACTTTTTGCAAGATATAGTAAGGCTGTGTGATGGTAGCCTGTCAATTCTTTTTTCTGCTTCAGCAATGGAAGATTCTAGCATCTAGCATCTGAGGTGGTGCAGCCTCTCACAGGAGAATATCCTTACTTTTCAAATAGTAAAGAGGTGTTTGAACCCACATCCACATGAAAATTGTGCTCCAGCTCAAAATCTGCTACAGTTGCCCTTCCATTTTCGTGAGGGATCCGTTCTGGAAACCCCCCACTGCGAAAACGGAAAATTGTGATGTGCATGTGCCCCATTTTATCCTCCTCTGTTTCCCAACCACGAACAGGTCAAGTCCGCGAAAACGGAGGGGCAACTGTACTTCATAAAGAAGGCTAGTTTTTAAGTCTACTTTCAGAGATGGTACGTTTTGGCATAGGGTATGAGCTTCAAGAGAAGGGGTATTTTTTCCAAACTAGTGACTACCAGTCTGAAAGCTAAGGTACTAAAGCATGAGAGGATTATGAATGTTTGTATTGGCCTTGAAGGTGCTCAGATGGTAGTATAGAATAGGTGGTAGCTTTGTAACTGGTCTGTCCTTTAAGCCAATAGTGGTACAGAGAGACCATTGTAATATCCTATGGTAAGTATCTCCCCAACTGACTCCTGCTTCTTCTCTCACCTAAATCTTTCCTTCAAACCCTTCTTTATGAAGGCCTCCCCTGCTCCCTAAAGCAAAACTGGCCTTATCCTTAGAGAAATTTTAGATGCAAAATTTGAAGGTGAAAGGGAGTAGGCAAGGTTTATGACGTCAAATCCATTGGTTCATTTTCAGTATGGTTGCCAAAGAAAATGTTTTCAACGTACTTGAGCAAACTTGTACTTGAAAAATCCAGCTCTACACTAAGAATTGTAAACCCTTCAGCCATAAAGGGCACTGAGTGTGGGACTATCCCAGTAGAATTATACAACAGTGATTTTTTCCTTGGCTGTTACTAATGAAAAGCTTTAGGGTTATGCTTATTTTAAATTTGCATAATCTTTATACCTTCTTCAGAATACTGTCTCTTCTCTACCAAACACATTGCACTGTTTTGAATGTTACTTTATTGCATAAACCAGGTTGTTATGGCAGATTTTCCATGTGTGCAGCTGCTATATTGTGAAGTACAGTGGGCCCTTGGTATCCGCTGGGGTTTGGTTCAAGGATCCACTGTGAATACCAAAATCAATGAATGCTCAAGTCTCATTATATACAGTGGGGTACTAAAATAGTATCCCTTATTTAAAATGGCAAAATCAAGATTTGTTTTTTGGAATTTACATTTTTTGACTATTTTCAAACTGATGGTAGAATCTGTGGATAAAGAATCCATGGATATGGAGGGCTCATTATAAAACACACCTCATCTGTATTTGGAGATAAAATGCAGCTCATGAGGGCATTATATGCTGAACTTGCCATTTCCTAGTCTAGAGTAATGGCAACCATTGGTGGAGGACAGAAATATATTTTGACACATGAAAACTAAACCCATTCATGGA